AATAAAAAGAGTGAGGCTATGGTCAAATAAGTAAACAAATGAAAAATAAAGTGCGACTGCTGAGAGTGCACACAGCTAGAAACACCGGCCCTCGCGGCCAAAAAACGGACCGGCCCACCGGGAACTCTCCCGGTCCTCCCGATTGGCCAATCTGGGCCTGCATGGAGCAATCACTCGCTTTTTAAATGTCTAATAAGCTTGTTTAATCCCACCCCTTTTCGCAGCGCTGAACGACAGAATATCTCATGCTCAAACTCTAACGTGACCGCAGCTTTAGTCTGAAACTGCATGTCTGAGACTGCGTGTATCAGCTTGCATGTGCAAGTCTGCAGCCAGATGCTATTGCTTTATTCGCAATTTTATTTCTCATCTTTTTGTTGACTAACATTTTTGCCACTGTGACACGATTTTCTAAATGTACCAATCGCAAGTTGTTCGTGCAAAATCTTAAATGTTGACCCTCTTTATTGCATATTTTCACACATGATTCTACATCTGATCTCTACTCTTATTTACTGATTTATTTGTCAATGTAACATTTCCTAGATGCATAAATTGTAAGCCGTTTGTGTGATGTAAAAAATTCTGTTCCTCACTATTTGGCTTTTTTGCACTTGATTTTATATTTTAACTCTTATTTTCTACTGTAAAAAATGTTTTATTTATATTAATCGTAAAATAGCGTCTTCACATTTTCACACTTGATTTTAGATTTTATCTCATAATTTATTTACTTGCATAATTTTGCCAATGTAACTACATTATCTCTCTGTAAAAATAGTAAATTGTTTGTACGATTATAAAAAATGGTGTCTCACTATTTTGCGCTTGATCCCTTTTTATTGACATAGTTATGCGAATGACAACATTTTCTTGTTATACGATTCATACATTTTTTGTACAACATAACAAAATGCCATCTTTGCTATTTCGCAATTTCAGACTTGATTCTATCTAGATCTCCAATCTTTTATTTACTGTCAGTTTTGGCAATGTGACTACATTTTCTCACTTTTCGAATCAATAATTGTTCGTACAATACTTTTATCGCACAGTAATGAAAAATGTTTTCCCATGCTATTCGAACTAATTGTAAAATGGTGCCTTCGCATTTTCACATCTCTTATTTTATTTACTCACACACTTTCGCCAATGTAAGTATATTTTCTCTCTGCACAAATCGTAAATTGTTTGTACGATATGAACGCTATTTTGCAGTTTTGCACTTGATTCTATTTTTTCTATATATTTATTATATAGAAATTAATTTATTTGATCTCTATTATTGCATTTATTGGCATTGTTTTGCCAATGTTGATCACATTTTCTTACCGTACAAATTATAAATTGTTTGTGCGATATGAAAAAAAGTGAGTTCTCACTATTTCGCATTTTTGCACTTGATTCTGTTTTATCTTCTATCTTATTTACTTGCATAGTTTTGCCAACATAACTACATTTTCTTTCAGTACGAGTTGTTCGTAAGTTCGAATTGTTTCAGTACACATCGTAAATTGTTCGCACGATTAAAAAAATTGCATCATTCGCTATTTTGCTTTTTTGAGCTTGATCCCTTTTTATTAGCACAGTTTTGCGAATGTGATTCGAATGTGATTCAATGAACACATTTTCTTTGTACAAATCTTAAATTGTTCATGCGATATTAAAAAAATGGCATCTTCGCTATTTCGCAAGGTTACACTTTTGTATTTTATCTTTTTTTCTGACATAGTTTTGCCAATGTAACCAAATTTTCTTGCTGTACGAGTCATTAATTGTTCGTACGACATAATAAAAATGGCATCTTCGCTGTTTCACATTTTTGCACTTGATTCTATATTCTATCTCTAATCTTTTGTTTAGATACTGTACATTGTTCGCACGATAATAAGAAAATGGTTTCCTGCGCTATTTGATCTAATTGTAAAATTCTCTTCACATTTTTGTACTTGATTCTTTATTTTATCTCTAAACTTTTATTTACTCGCATAGTTCTGCCAATGTGACCACATTTTCTTTCCCTGTAAATCGACAAAACGATAAAAAAAATGGCATCTTCGCTATTTTGCATTTTTTTTGCGCTTGATTCAATATTTTTTCTTTAATCTTTTATTTACTCAGATGGTTTTGCCAATGTTGATCACACTTTCTTTCTGTAAAAATGATAAATTATTCATACAATATAAAAAAAAATGGAATCCTAAATTGTTCGTAGGATGTTAAAAAAATGTCGTCCCTCACTATTGTTTCCGCAGACATCACTCCTACAATTCTGGACTGGTTCTCTTTGCCGTACCCATCCTACAGTCTCTCCATGTCGCAACCTGTGGAGTTGACGGGTCGCTCTCTCCTCCCAGCCCTGATCTCAGAGCCATCCTGGGACACCGTCTTCTCCAGCCAGAGTCTCCACGAGGTCACCATGTTTTACCCTATGCGCTCCATCCACAAGGGCCCCTACCGGCTCCTCCATAACCTGCACTACCGCATGCCTTTCCCCATAGACCAGGACTTCTACATCTCTCCAACCTTCCAGGACCTGTTAAACCGCACTCAGTCAGGACGACCCACAGGCTGGTTTAAGACGCTAAATGAGTATTACTACCGGCAGCGATGGGAGCTGTTTGACGTCCGGACTGATCCGATGGAGAAGGTGAATCTGGCTGGTGATCTGGATTATTCAGAGGTTCTGGAGAGCCTGAAGGATCTGCTATTAAAGTGGCAGTGGAGGACGGAAGACCCCTGGGTTTGTGAACCTGATGCAGTTTTGGAGGCCAAATTGGAGCCGGAGTGCAGACCGCTATACAACGGACTATGATTTTACAGACTCATGAACTTCTTATGATTCAGGTTTTACTTGTTCTGAAGAATGTATTTGTAGATTTTTTTATTGAAATGTTAATAAAAGGTCTGAATAAAAACAAAAACATGACGTCAATATGAGCTAGATTTGTTTTGTTTGGATATATCTGAAACTGTGGTACTACAGTAGTGCGTTTGATTCACTATAGATTGCTAAAAAGGCAGTAAAGCTTCATATAATGTTTTCACTGCCCTGCATAAATGTTGTCAATCAATGTTATTTAATTACTGTCATTATTAATTATTTCAGTTTAATTTTATTACAAATATCTAAATCTAATCTAAATTAATATACAATTATTAGCATAATCATTTTAAATACTTAACAACAACAATGAAACTAATAATAATAGTATAAAAATGATATACAGAAAGCATATAATTACTATTTTAAAAGCATCAAATTGCAACATTTTAGTAATAATGCAAAGATATACCTAAGCAGTATGATTTGAATTTGATGATAACAACTGTTATTATTTAAATAATTAAAATATATAATAACAATAAAGAAGTATTAATATATTATAGTATATACATGTTTTTAAAATAACACTGAATTTGTAATATGTATCTTATTATTATTAATATTATTTATATTAGTATACAAGAGGTATTAGTAGTAATATTAAAGATGATACTTAAGATGTAGATCATTTTATTAAAGATTTTTTTCTTGTTATACTATTACTATTATTATATAAAATATTTTTTATTTAATATTAATGTATAAATATTCTTAATATTTTTAAAACAGGCATCATACAATGACACAATGTTATTTTAATAATAAACATTGAATAATTTAATAATAGTAATTTAGGGGGGTAAATAATTCTGACATTAACTTTATGTATGTATATATATATATATATATATATATATATATATATATATATATATATATATATATATATATATATACATAAAGTTAAAGTCAGAATTATTTACCCCCCTAAATTATTAGCCCCCCTATTTATTTTTTACCCATGCATTTTCTGTTTAGCATGGAGATTTTTTTCAACACATTTCTAAACATAATTGATTTAATAACTCATTTCTAATAACTGATTTATTTTATCTTTGCCATGATGACAGTTAATAATATTTTACCAGATATTTTTCAAGACACTTCTTTACAGCTTAAAGTGACATTTAAAGGCTTTACTAGGTTAGTTAGGTTAGCTCGACAGGTTAGGGTAATTAGGCAAGTTTTTGTAAAACGGTGGTTTCTTCTGTAGACTATCGAAAAAATAAAGCTATATAATATAGCTAATAATTTAAAATCTAAAAATTAAGAACTGCTTTTGTTCTAGCCAAAATAAAACAAATAAGACTTCTTTTAGAATCTTATCAGAATATTATAGGACAGGCTGTGAAAATGTCCTTGCTCTGTTAAACATCATTTGGGAAATTTTTAAAAAATAAAAAAAATTCAAACGGGGTCTAATAATTCTGACTTCAACTGTGTGTGTGTGTGTGTTTATGTATGTATATATATATATATATATATATATATATATATATATATATATATATATATATATATATATATATATATATATATTAATAAATCTTTAGGATATTAGCTTAAATAGTCACAGATATTTTCATTTGATGTTATAATTTTTTTTTTATATATATATTTGGTATATTTGGTTTAATTGTCAATAAACCCTAAAGCTTGTTAAAGCACTTTCGGATTCTTGACAGAAATTGCTCTCTCATTTAAATCATTTAAAAACCTGCCAATGTAGTAAAACGCTGTCATGCTCACCCAAGAGTGTAATTACAGAGACGTCAATAAGTCAATACGTCAAACCAGTCATTAATCCTTATCTATTTTCTCTTCCTATAATGCTTATTCAGTCCAACTAGATCCTATTCTGTTCTATTGTATTCTTAAATATAAAGGGGGCAGTTCGATCAAAAAATATAATGTACTAGTTATTTACTCACTCGAGTGGTCTCAAAACTTTATAAGTTTCTTTTTTAATGTTGAAAACAAAAGAAGATATTTCGAAGAATGTTGTAAATTGTAACAGTATTTTTATCTTGTGTTCAACAACAGAAGAAACTCAAACAGCTTTAAAACGAGGAGAATGAGTAAATAATGACCGAAGTTTCATCTGGGAATAAACAATAATAAAAATAAAGTTGTTCTTAGTTAACATGTCCGCGTGTCTTTGCCCGGGGATTTACTCTTTACCAATTTTCTCTGTGACGCCGGAAAGACGTTTATTGATCGCTAATAGACAGAGAAACAATATTAACCCGTCACACATCACATCTACCTGACGTTAAATGCTCCCCGAGCGTCTCCAAACGCGCAAAAACGCGCAAATCAATCCCATTGGCCGGAAATATGAATCATCTCACGGGGGAATGACGAACGAGATCACGACTCCGCGGGCTCTATATAAACTCCAGAAGTGCAGACCCAACCATCAACTGCAACAACAAAAAGCAACAACAACAACAGAGAACACTATCACCCGAGCGCGCAATGGAGAGGTCCGTCAGATCCGTGCTGGTGTTCGTAGCTGTTTCCATCCTCATTTCCAGCCATCCCACAGACGCCTGGTACAAGCAGTCGACCGGTCCAAGTTACTATTCGGTTGGGAGAGCGTCGGGTTTGCTGTCGGGCATCCGGAGGTCGCCGTATGTGCGCCGGTCTGAGGGGGAATCAGCGCTGGACAGCGGAGAGACTCCCGGGGTCTCCAACAGCGTCCTGGCGGAGCTCAGCAGCAGCAACAGCGGCAGACAGACTCCAGTGCTGAAGAACATGGTACAGCACACACACCATTCAGAAAACAAACAGGTTATTACATTATGTTCATAATTATAATAATAAAAAAGTAGCTACTATATTTAATATTTAGCCTACATACACATTATTCAACTAATAAAGCACACTAAAGTTTTTTTTAATAAAAAATAGGCTACTAAATATTTTTATAGAATTTGTGATATAAACGTTTTATAACTAATTAAACGTTATATTCTTTATTTAAAAATAAATGTAAAATATTAGTTTATGTATTTTATTTTAAAATAATTATGCTTTTTAAATCAAGTTTAAAGTGAATTTAAAAGATACACTTTTACATCTATAAATACTAAATGTTTCGAAAATATAACCTAAAACGAGTATCATATTTTATAAGTAGATATTGCACATTATTCAGATCTAATTTTTAAGATTTTTTTCTTTATTTTCTAAAATAATTTAAATTTAAATAATCAATTTCTAACTAAAATAAATTCCACTGTTATCTTATTATAAATTTAAATATCTTACCATCTTAATCAAGCTGGTTTTATTTAACAATAACAAATTGTGACTAATTTAATTTGATATAGGCTAATTTAAAGCATTTTATAAGGTTGATATTATTTGCATGCTGCTAAGGACTTAAAATATTGAAACTTTTTCTAAAACGAGCATTATAAAATTAATAAATACATAATGTTTAGCAGAGAACTACTTCATTTGTACTCAGTTATGATTATGAATATATATATATATATATATATATATATATAGAGAGAGAGAGAGAGAGAGAGAGAGAGAGAGAGAGAGAGAGAGAGAGAGAGGAAGAGAGAGATAAAAACTTAAATTTAATAAATATTTGTATAAACTCTGATGGTTGTATATTGTTTATTAAGAATGAAATCTTTGCTGATGAGTTATATAGCTAAACCTGTTATAAACTTCCTATATTGGAAGTGTTATAAAAAAACTTTAAAAGTGTTAAACTCTTGGCTATATACACTGGCAGCAATTTTTTTAAATGATTCAGATTTTAGAGTAGTGATAACCATTTTTCTTAATATTATTGGTCCGTTACTTTCATTCAAACGCCATTTTTTAAATTTCAAAATAGAGTAACGGTAACGGTTAATTCAAACTGACTAACCGCCTGCAAACTTTTGTTAACCTCCTCTGTGCCGCTTTTTCTCCTCAGGCGATCTGCGTAAAGGACATTTCCCCAAACCTACAGAGCTGCGAGCTGCTTCAGGACGGTTCGAGCTCGTTTCGTTGCAAAGCAGACGTGTTTCTGTCGCTCGACTCTCTGGACTGCTTCACCTCATGAGCGGCGCCGGTCCTTTCCCTCCCCGACCCGAGTCTCTTCCATTTCAGGAGTGTTTACCGCCGAGGCAGCCAGACGTGCTGTTGACACTGAATGTTTACCAGATTCACACCAGAGAGATCAACGCTGCTCCAGAACATCTGCTTTCCTGCAAAACATCACTCCTGTATACGTGATGACGTTTATTATGACTGACATTCTAAACGTTTTTGGCGCGAAAGTAAGCATTTTCTGTGAGCGTGACCGATTTCCGATTCAGTCGCTTTAGCTTAGTAATTGCAAGAAAAGTTGACTGCTGTAAACTTTTTTTCGATCTCCAAAGCATAATTATAACAATTAATTAAATCAAACAATTAAAAATATCCATTTGTGATATGAGCAGAAAGCTAAAAATAACTCAAATCAAATGACACCGGAAGTGACACACATTCAAATTACATTATCTAAGTTACTGCTGTTATGTAAAAAAAAAGAAAGCGTTACACATTTACAGTAAAATCTAGAATTAAGACAGCACATAAATGATATTTGTTTAGTATAGCAAACACAAAAGTGAAGTCAAACCAAATACCAAATTTCCTTCCAGTGTGAACACATATTTTGCAGGAAAACAGATCTCGAAGAGCAGTTTGAGCCCTCCTGGTTCACATAATGTGAAGTATGCTGCTTGAAATTTGTAAATCGAAAATAATGAAATCCACAGAAACAAAACAAAGAGGTGTATTTTTTTTTGTTCGATCCGTTTCCCCTCGCACCCGCCCTTCTCCTGTATCTACCTACAGATGTATTAAATGTTCATAAAAAGAGTTATGTTATGAGCAAAAACTTTCAAAGATGTTTTCTTTATTTTATTAAACTTGAAAGACACACTGTTCATTCTGTTTGTTTGTGTCGTGACTCGCTCTGTACAAGAAATCACCAAAAAAACAAATGTGTTTTAATTACATTTCTATTTACAGTGGCCTGCTTGCATTTACAGAGTGCATTTGAAAAGTGAAATATGGCTTTTAAATAGATACATATATATCAGTGAATAAATGAGATTTAGTAAATAAAAACAATAGACATTTGCTACACAGTTATACTTCATGAAGATGTGTGAACACGAAACAAAACTATAATCAGTTCTTTATCAAAATGCTTCAACGACTGATTACAACTGGATCAAAAGCAAAACACGATGCATAACGCAAAAAATAAACTCTATAGGTTTCTCTAAAATGTGCAAAAGTGAAGTCAAACCGAATTCAGCTCACTTCCAGTGTGAACGCACTAATTTTCAGTGATAATTTGCAGAAAAACTGATCTCTAAGAGTTCTGAATGCACCTAGTTCACACAATGTAAAATTTGCAGCTTGAAAATTATAAATTGAAAATTGATATCCACATAAACAAAACGGAGACATATTTGGATTATAATACTCATAAAAAAAGAGAAAAAAAGTGATTAAACTTATTCTGCGAGACGAAAAAGAAATCACAAAATATCAAAAACAAGATTAGTTTTTAATTACGTTTCTATTTACAGTGGCTTGTTTGCATTTACACAAGGCTTCCGTAAAGCAAAATATGGCATTTTAAATAGCAAAAATATATATTTATCGGCGAATAATTGGAATATAAATGGTAAACAAAACAATATGCATTGTGCTTCATACAGAACGCTCGCTCAATTTTGGTATAACAAAACCATTTCAGACTGAATCACCAACTCACCATCAAAGTGCTGCAATGCATTGGATCCCAACTGAGTCAAAAGCAAAACATGATTCATAACGTAAAATATTAACTCTAAAATGCATCACACTAAATAAAAACATTACACCAGGGGAAAATGTGATTTTTAAGTGATGATTAACCAGCATGTGAGGAACATCAGGAGAATAATGAGATGTTGATTTAGTGTGATTTACACTTCCAAAAGCGTAATATATGATTCATATGGCCTGATTATTGCATTTTGAGCATAATATTTAATTTTTTAAGTAAGAAAAACGTATAAACTTAAGGAAAGGTGTGCGGTCGCTCTGTTTGGATTAATATGAGAGCATCATATGTAATAAATACCAGCATATGCTTGGCTCATCTATGAGTCTTTTACAGGTTTTCCTCAGAGCAGAGAAACAGCCTCCAGGTTCTCCTTGATAATGGTGTCCATCACCACCTGGAAAACCACCTGGACGTTGGATGTGTCGGTGGCTGTGGTGAAGTGATGGTAGATGAGTTTACTGGGAGACGCGTTTAATGACACGAACATGTCGGCGATGAAGCGAGCGGCAGCATCAACATCACAGTCAGCTCCTGCGAACGGGAAAAAAGTTGTTTTTGAGAGAAGTGTGTTTATTTGATTTAAAATACTGTTCTTTTATACACCTGTTTTATAATTAAATACATTGGCATGTAACTTATTTCTGTAGAGGAATGTTGAATTTTCATCATCATTATTCCAGTCTTTAGTAATAGATGATCCTCCAAAAATCATTAGCAGCATTTTCAAGGTTTAAAAATGGTTTATTATTTTGTGTAAATATTGCAGGATTGTTTGATGAATCGAGAAAGCCAAATGACTGCATTTATTTTAAATACAAGTCTTTAATATGTCTTCACAAGCACTTTTGATCATTTTTATGAACTATAAAAAGAATATATATATTTTAAATACTGACTAAAATTCTACTATAATACATGAATGATAATAATAAATAATACATAAATACAAAAACAATCTAAACCTTAACAATTATTTACTGTAAAGCACTAAGAGTTGTGTATTCTAGTGTTTGGTATAGCAACAATTGTGTGGCACAAGCCATTGAAATGAATGGGCTTCATATCACTGTGCTTTCTGTGTCCGATGTGAAAGCAGTTACACTCTGTGCTGTGACGACAACTGGAGTGAGAGTAAAACATTTTTATTGGCTTGCTTTCATTCCATTCATCCATCCATTCATCCATCCATTCATCCATCCATCCATCTATCCATCTTGCTTTTAAGTAACTATTCAATGTCAGGTACTAATATTTTCCTTTACATGGATGTAAAAGTTTCTCCAGTAGAAATTTAAGTAATAAATAAGTAATTTCATAGCATCTATCAACATTTAATCCTGTTATTTGAATCATAGTTTCCAGAAAATCTGAGAAAAGACGAGTAAAGTGAACATAATTGATTTTCCTTTTCAAAGACACAAAATGGAAATGGTAGTCTATGCATATATGATTGTGATAATATCAGCAGGATTGATGAATGGGCACTAAACCATCGATATTGAATTGACAGCATGATGAATGTATTATTGCATCTATCCGGATTAGAAGTTAGATGTAGTAACAGGCTTTATAGTAATCTGATGGGAGATTAAGTTTGTCATATACAAGTGTCGGCGAGGGGGGCAGAGGGAGAGAGAGAAGAGACTGTCATGCAGAAAATTTCCAGCCTCATCCGTCTTGACCTTTTCTCCATGAGGGGAAAACTCCAGGATCCTTTCCAGCTGATTAGAGCAGCAAACCACAAACTCACTGAGACACTAAAACTGCACACAGACTGAGGAGAGAGATACAGAGCTGCAGGATACCACACACTCACTGACAGAGAGAGAAGAAAGAGAGGGAGAAGAATAGGAGAGAGAAGAAAAAAAGAGGTTTAGAAAGAAATGAATAAAGAAACTAAGGGAACGAAGGAAAAAAATAAATACAGAAAGAGGTTTAGAAAAGATAAGAAAGAAAGAACGAAAGAAAGAAAAAAGAAAGAAAGAAAGGAAAAAGAGAATAGGTTTAGAAAGAAGAAAAATGCAAAAAAGGTTTAGAAATAAGCAAAAAGGCAAAAAAGAAAAAAAGAGCGAGAAGAAAGAGAACAGAAAGAAAGAAATAGAGAAGAAAGAAAGATGAAATAAAAAAGGCATGAAGAAAAGAAAATACAGAAATAGTTTTAGGACGAATCAGAAATATAAAAAAGAAAGGGTGGAAAAAAGAAAATAGGTTTAGAAAAAAGTGAAAAGGCAAGAAAGAAAGAAAGAAAGAAAGAAAGAAAGAAAGAAAGAAAGAAAAAAGAAAACAAGAGGTTAAGAAAATCAAAAAGGCAAGAAAGAAAGAAAAAAAGGTTTAAAAAGCAAAAAGGCAAGACAAAGAAAAGAGAGAAAAGAAAGAGAGACAGAAAGAAAGAGAAGTCACAAAGACAAAAGGAATAAAGAAAAACAGGAGGGAAAGAAATACAGAAAGAGGTTTAGAAAGAAGCAAAGAGGCAAGAAAAAAGAAAGAATGAAGCAAAAAGGCAAGAAAGAAGAAAGAAAGAAAATAAAGAAAGGTTTAAAAAGGCAAGACAGAAAAGAAAGAAACAAAAAAAGAGAAAGAAAAAATAAGTTAAGAAATTGTAAAAAGGTAAGAAAGAAACAAAAGATGTAGGAATTAAGGAAGAAAAGAAGGAAGGAAATAGGTTTAGAAAGTAGTAAAAAAGAAAAAGAATGGCAGGAAGAAAAGAAAAGAAGAAAATGGCCGAAATAAAAGAAAGCAACTAAAAAAAGTCAAATAAATGTAGTCAAAAAAACTAAAGAACAGAATGAATTTCAAAACAGAACTAACGAACAACAGAATGAACAAAGATAAATGAAAAATGAGAAACAAAAAAGACAAAGAGAGTTAATAAAAAAAACAACACACTACTGAATGAAAGAAAAATAAAATAATAACAGAGAGATTAGAAAGTAAAGCACAAAATGAGAATAAAGTATGAAAATAAAAAAAGAGAAACAACAAGAACAATAAATTAAACCAGGAGAAGAATCAATGAAAGAATGAAAACAGCTAAACAAAGAACAGATATTATTAGCTAAAATAAAAAAAGAATAAAAGAATGAATGAAACAACAAATAAAATAATAAAAACAACACCAATAATACAAGAAAAACAAATAAAAGAACAGAAGAAAACAAACAGGCAAACAGAGAGAACAAAGGATGAACAAACAAGTGGTAGAACAACAACATCAAGCAAACAAAAAAGACGAAACAGGAATGAAAACATTAAAGAATCTGAAACAAATAAGCAATTAGATGGAAGAGACAAATTATTGAAAAACAAACTGAAAAGAAAGAGAACAAACAAAAGTAAACAAAGCAGCAAACAAAAAGAGAACAAAATGAAATACTAATGGAAGAAGGAAATCTAAAGAAACAAAAAAGAAAAATAAACAATCAAACACAACAAGCAGTCAACTGAACGAAAAAAAGACCATATCAAAGCAAGGGAACAAACAAACCTGAGAACAGAAACACTGACTTTAGTAAAAAAAAAAAAAAAAGAGTAAACAAAGGGAAGTTTTGCAGCTGAGGCACACACAGATCAGCCTTTCCTTCAGGAGTCGGTGGAGAAAATCAAGCGTGATTCACATTTAATCACAGCCTCGTCTCTCACCTCTGAACTGGGGAAGGTAATGGCGCAGATGACGCCCCGAGTGGAGGATCTTCTCTTGGAAAAGATCAATCTTATTCATGAATAAAATCTGCAAAAAAAAAATAAAAAATCAAAAGGAGACACTCTCACATCATGCCCAACAACAGCCATCAATCACACGCTCTGAGGAATCAATCGTTCATCGATCACAAATACAACAACAAACGAAAAAGAAAATAAGTTTGCTAAAATCAGACCATTAATACCTCACCATCGTCTCTTTGTGGCCTCTAACTAAACTATAAAGACTCAATTAACAAGAAAGAAAGAAGAGAAAGTGGGAAGAAATTAAAGTGGGAAGGAAATAAATAAAGAGAAAAAGAAAGAAAGAAATACAGAAAAAGAAAAAACCTTTTAAAAAAGAGAGAAAGAAAAAAGGAAGAGAAAAGGAAGAAAGATTTAGAAGGAAAGGAGATAAAATAAGAAGGAAAAGGGGAGGAAGGATATTAAGAAAAAAGAAATAAATGAAATAAGAAAGACAGAAAGAAAGTAGAGAAAGAAATAGATTTAAAAAGTAAGTAGAGGAATTGAGAAGCAAAAAGGAAGAAAGAGATTTGAAAAGAAAGAAGAGAAAGTGAGAAGGAAGAATGTAAGAAAGATATTTAGAAAGAAAGATTTAGAAAAAAGTAGAGGAATTGAGAAAAAAAGGAAGAAACAGAGGTTTAGAAAAAGTGATACGGAAGAAAGGATCACATAGATTTCAAAACAAAGAAGAGAAAGTGAGAAGGAAAAGGGGAAGAAAGATATTTAGAGAGAAAGAAAGGAAGGAAGAAATAAATTAAGAAAGTAGAGAAAATGAGAAAGAAACAAAGAAAGAGATTTAAAAGGAAACACTTTAAAAATGCTGGGATCCACACAATAAATATGTGTTGGCGAAACATGTCAATATTAACATATTAGTTTTTACACATTTAAATGGACTGAACATGAAACAATTAAGTTGCCACAAAATCGCTTTGTTTTTGTGTTTGAATTGTGTTGTTTCAGCACATTTAAAATAAGTAGTTTAAGCAAACAGCAAACATAACTTTGAGTAAAGGAGAGAAAGTGGGAAGGAAGAAAGGAAGAAATAGAAAAAAGTAATATGGAAAGAAAGAAGATTTAGATAGAGAGGAGAGAAAGTGAGAGAGAATTAGAGAAACTTAAAAAGAAAGACAGAAAGAAAGAAAGAAAAAAAGAAATAGGAAAGAAAGAAAGAAAGAAAAGAAAAAAAAGAAATAAGAAAGAAAGAAAGAAAGAAAGAAAGAAAGAAAGAAAAGAAAGAAAAAAGAAATAAGAAAGAGAGAAGAAAGAAAGAAAGAAAGAAAGAAAGAAAAAAAGAAAGAAAGAAAATGAGGAGGAAAGAAGGAAAAAGATAGGGAGAGTCCACAAAAAGATGACAGTAGGCTATAAAAGCTATAATGATTTAATTACCAACAATAAAGAAGTGAAAGTGAGAAAGAAAGAGTAAGTCGGTAAAAGCAGACCATTAATATCCCAAAATGCCCAAAACGATGACAGAAAAAAAGCTATAAAGGCTTAATTAAGAACTCACCACTGTATTGGTTTAGCCTAGCGCTTCCAAACAACACAGTATGACTAACACAGCTATAAAACGCATCTTAACAAGGGCAGTTTAGCGCTCCTCATTACACAGAAAGAGGTCGTACGATAAATAGACCGACAACACGAGGACCAAAAACACGCCTGCTGGTTTAATTACCAAACAACACCGCAATTATAAACAAGTCTGGGCTAAACTGATGACGTGCGCTGTAATTATGGAGGAAGATGCTAACTCTGCAGGCCAGGTTATCAAAGCAGGAGATGCTAAACGGGGAACTCATTGAGGGAGTTCAGATGAATGAAACCACGTCTGAATCAACCGGTGAGTCCTCAAAGTTTATAATGAGGTTAGGGGAGTTATGAAGAACTCGGTGACCGGTCATATAATAGAACGAAATGGGATATTTGAGGATATGGAAATGGACTGTTAAAACTGAAATTGAATGGAGGAGGAGCTATAAATGATGCTTGATGATGTCAGCAGAAACAGAAAGTTGTTTTTGGAGGCGGGGCTTATTTTTAACCCTTACAGTCAGTACATATTTAACCCTTGTGTGCTGTTAGGGATGTTTTAATCCACTCAGGGGTGATGCATTATTTTTTGTTAAATTAGAAACAATTAAATATAGACTTTGAGGTTCGGTGATCCAGATTTCTAACATTTGGTTGCCATTCTTGGAGCAAATCAAATCTCTGAGATTTGAGGCAGTTACTGTGGAGTTAATGGTTGCCAATCTTGCACTTTTGTTTTGGTCTGTACCTTCCAGATGAGTATTAGTGCTGATATAGCACAAGCATACAACTCTTTCTTGACATTAAACTACAAGTTTAAGGTAATAAATACAAGTTTTATTTTGAATCTTTTAATCAATTTTGTGCTGTTTTATACTTTGTTTTCTCTTTGTACCGTTATTTTCTTTTCTTTTTTTTCACTTTTGTTTGTTAACTGTCTAAAAAATTCAATAAATAAATCTTTAAAAAAAAAAAAGATTTATTGCCTTTTTTTGCCTATAGAACAGTAGCTAGAGAGGAAGTTAAATTGCAGAGAGAAAATATTTTAGGATTTATTATAAAAAAAAAAAGCTCCACAAGTTGGGACTCTAAAATGCCTAAACAGGGTTTCTGCAGATATCATAAGGTTAAATTTAAGACTTTTAAAGACCTTTTTAGGACCTTTTTAAGACCTATATCGCAATATCAAAAACACGCGATAATAAATGTAAATTCACAAAATTAGTTGTAAAATAAATGTATTTAAGTTGAACAGTACTAAAGGCAGGTTAGATGCACGATTCAACTACAGAAAAAAAAACAAACAAACATCTTAATGCTGATTTATCCTGATGCTTTCACCTGGCGCCGCATCACACACCTCACGAAACGGACGAGGCTTTTATACTTGACACATTCGCTATTAAGATATTTTTTTTTAAATGACAGGGGGCGGTCAAAAGAAACAGACAGTAAAATCAGACGAATAAAAAGATAATCATTATCATTGAAGATGTTTTTGGGGGCCTCTTTGTTTGTTTTAACAAACTTATCCCTCAGGTTATTTAAACTCTTACAAAAACTTTCCCCCTTTCCCACTACTGTTGCAATTTCAAGCCAAGAATTACTGGTCATCTGGTTCTCCCTACGATCATGCATGGACGGATCACAAAAGATGTCGGTGCAGACGTACCCGTTTCAGAAAGAATCTCTTCAAAGTGTTTCATATTCAACTTAAATCAAATTCGGCGCCACGCGAACTCTTCACCTGAGCCTCAAAAAATTCTATTAGCTCCGCTAAGGCGTTATTTCACTGACAAAAGAGCGCATTCATGTAAGACGAGCGAGCGAATCTTTTTGCTCGTGCACTGATTTCCTCTGTTTGTGGACAAAACTGCAAATTTTCTCTCTCTCAAATATGCACTGCTCATGCACAAATGTTCTTGCGTGCTTTCAGTACACTGTTCCCTCTTCCTTTTATGCTTTTTGATATCATTTATATTGGTAAACTATTAATTACCAATAACCAAATACTAAAATAGATTTAAATATTACATTTTTATTCTAATAAACCATAACATTTTTGGCTGTAGGTTATATGATGAGATATTTCCAGTTTCAAACACTTAAAGACACAGAGAATAGTTTAATTTTAAAAACATTTATTAAACATCCAAAAGGTGCACCATACCAATAAAATAAAATAAAATAAAAAAAACATTTAAATATAAGTAATGCAAGCAGAAATGTAACTGTAATAGAAAATAGGGAAACACTTGATAAGGTATTATAGCCTACTGTACTGTTCACTCTTCAAATAAATCTCACTATCAATCTCATGTTATCATGTCAACTAAAATAAAGTGAACTAGTGTCTGCTCTACAGTGTTTTGTAAAGTGCTTCAATTAATCTGTTGTGGTAATACTATAGTTGCAATTGTAACACAACAAGTGTAATATAAACAAACTACTCAGTGCTTTAGTTTTTTTTTTTTTACAATATAGGGTATATTATACTACAATTCACCTCACTTTACTGCAGTAAAACTACACTGTATTTCATTTGATCAGTTCACTATTCTTAATACTACAGTATGCTGAAGCATCTCTGGAGAGCAAAAGCATGAAAAGAGGAAACACAAGACACAGAAATTGTGAGTTCGCATTTTCCGACGGAGCTAGAGCAGACCATTTACACGTGAGCAGCCAGTGTTTTGAGTGCACGCAAAAAGTTTTGTCCACGAACAGAGGAAACCGGCGTGTGAGCAAAGAGATTCGCTCTCTAGTATTGAATGAATGAATGAGCTCCTGACTTGTAATGCTGAGCTTTCGACATTTGTCAGTAAAATATTGCCTTACTCCGCCAGCTGAAATGATGTGGCGCGCACCTGCAGCGAACTTTCGCAAACACAGAGATGACTTTACATTCGCTGTGCGCACTGAGATTGGCTATTGCAAGTTGACCTTTTTTGTAGTTGTAATACTGCAAATTACAATTGGACTACTGAAATAAAAAACTACAACACCCTGAAAACCTAGCGACAACAACAACAACAACAAAAAAATTAATAAGCATTAGATGTAGCGTTATATGGACATCACAAAAATACGACCTGTGGAAAAATATTTAAAACCTAGAAGAGCGAATTTAAGACTTTTTAAGGCCTTAAATTTCGATTTTTTAATTTTAGACTTATTAAGACCCAGCGGAAACCCTGCTAAAGCAAAATATATGCCACTGTTTCAATGCCAAAAACAGAGAAAGTTTTCAACATATAACATTTGTGTTAAATTAAAAAATAAATATTCCTTGAACAAATCGCTAAGAAAAAAAAATACAGAAAAATATTAATCAAAAGTAATAATAATTTATTAACAGGCGGTAGGAAGAAGAAAAAAAAAAGTTTAAACACTTTATTGTTATGAAATAAATTCTGCTTTCATACAAATGTACATTAGACGTACATCCAGTCTTCTGCAAAAACCAAAAAGGCCACTTCATTTTAATCTGGAAAATAACTTTGGCATTATAGCTCATGTCGGTGTGCTTGTCTGCATCAAATGAAGAGTTTTTGAATTGTTTTGGCCTCATATGTTTAGCGTGGCCTCTTGAGTTAAATGGAGGAGATTGGAGGAGCTCTCACTGCTAATAGACTCGTCTCTTACCATGGAGGTGCCCCTGAAGAAGATGTTGTTGCAGATTGAAGAGAAGAGCTTGAGACTCTCCTGCAGGCGATTCTGAACAAGGCAAAAACACACAAGCCGTCAGACTTCCCATCATGCTCTCTCCTGTGTTTAAAAAGATAAGGCCGGGTACAGTTGTGTGCTCATAGCAAGTCGAATAAATTTGGTTAACATTTTTTTTTATTGTTTATATTGATTTTGAATTGTAAAGATTGCACTACACCACCTGACAACAGTCTTGTCGCCTATCCAAGTTTTAGGAACAACAAATAATAACTTGACTTCTAGTTGATCAATTGGTATCAGAAGTGGTTTACATGAAAGGCAAAGACTTCTAGATTACGCTTATTTTACCACAATAAAACATGATCATGCCTTGATTTTTAAATTATTTAATTAGGACTTTGCTTAGACAAAAGTCTTGTCACTTAACAGATTTAATGTTCCGTATTGAATACAAAGTCATAATGCAGTGGAAAAAGAATTAATATAGTTTTTGACTTCCATTAGCTTGGAGGACTGCATCCATACATCTTTGCAATGACTCAAATCACTTATTAATATAGTCATCTGGGATGGCAAATGAAGCGTTCTTTCAGGACTCCCAGAGTTCATCAAGATTCTTTGGATTCATCTATAATGCCTCCTCATCCATCTTACCCCAGACATGCTCAATAAAACCATGATTTTTCCTTCACCAAACTTGACTGATTTCTGTGAGAATCTTGGGTCCATCCGGCTTCCAATAGGTCTTCTGCAGTGTATTTGATGATTGGGATGCAGTTCAACAGATGATTCATTGGAAAAATCCACCTTCTGCCACTTTCCCAAATTACCAACTAGAAGTCAAGTTATTATTTGCTGCTCTTACAACTGGGATCGACGACAAGACTTTTGTCAGGTAGTGTACAATACAAATAATTCATTTTATATTGTTATCTGTTTTAATTAAATTCTACTTTCAGTTTTGATGCTGATTTTTATTACTTCTAAGCATTTTTTAAAAATGTCAATACATTAACAAATTCTTTATGTGTATATATTCACAGTGCTTAGCATAAACGAGTACACCCCATTTATAAAATTAATATTTTGATCAATTTCTCAGTGAATATAGGTAATATATTTTGGTGCATTTGAACGAAACAGATTTATTAAATAGATAGATTCAACAAAATTATATGTTTGTCACTGAACATTTTTGGAAATCTAAAAATAATACATTTATATACAAGCCAAATATTGCAAAAATACAATAAAATTACAAACTACGTTTTACTAAGTGTAAAACTACAAATCTAAAACTACAAAATTTTACAGATATTTTTGTTTCTCATGATTTTCCTTTTATTTAATACCTTTTCCTAACATATGAACTTGTGTGTACTCATTTTTGGACGATTATCAAGAGTTTTTTTTTGCTAGATTAGCTCTAGATTAAGCTTCTGTATTGACAAAACTAACATATAAAGAATATTGTACAGCTTCCTATTAAAAATATTAATACAAAGGATAGATTTGGGAGGGGAGAATATATATTATTTTAGAAAATCTGGGTTATTTCTTTCTAATTTCACATACAAAATAGTATTTTAGAGCTTATTTCATTTATTTTCCTTCGCCACAGCGAAATGAACCACCAACTTATCTAGCATATGTTTATGCAGCAGATGCCCTTCTAGCTGCAACCCATTACTTGGAAACATCCAAACACACTCATTCACACATATACACTATATGGCCAATTTAGTTTATTCAATTCACCTATAACACATGTCTTTGGACTTTGAAAAAAAAAAAACAGAGCACCTGGAGGAATCCCACGTGAACATTGGAAGAAGATGCAAACTCCACATAGAAATGCCAAATGACCCAGTCGGGTCAACCAATCTTCTTGTTGTGAGGCAACAATGCTAACCACTGAGCCCCATTTAGAGCGTGTTATAAAGAAAAATTCAATTGGTAACAATAAATGAAGTAACTCTTCTGAAGTTAAAACATTGCTATTATGTTCTTTAAAAACTAATATAAAGGTTTGAAAACATGGCAAATTATTTTGTGCTATTTTATGCCAATAATAATAATAACAGTGGTCTCATAATGTTTTCCATATGTGTTTAAATACATATATTTTCCATTTTAACATTATTATTTACTATTTGTGGCTGATGACAGAACCATGGAATGTTGACGATATCAAAAACATACAAAGCAAAAAATACACTAACATCTTTTTCAGAATACTACACTTATTTTTATCATCTAAAACACAACACCCTTGACCTTTAAATAGCACTTTGGGCTCTTGAGGCCTTTTTTTCATGGACACAAAAGTGTTTCCTCACCATAGATGGATCCTCTACCAGCGTCATGTCGTATCCACTCAGAGAGACAACGAACAGCACAGACCTCACATACTCGAAACAGCTGATCCACTTCCTCCTCTCCGTCCGCTGACCGCCAACGTCATACATCCTTCAGACACAGAGACAAAACATCCTTAAAAAACATTGATACGACAAAAAATGCACATGAAAGTCAATTCACCTTCGCAAAAACACGTCACATAATCAAACTACATTCAGAAACAGTCATTTCAGCATCACTTCATTCTGACTTTTAACAATAGCATATTAGCATTTGTTATGCTTATTTGTGGCTACTAAGCGACTAATAAGTGATTTGTACATGTGAAAAGCAGACCAATGTGCCTGAAAGAGCTTCTCAAATGAACAAACTGGTCCAAATGTCCACACCCTATGCTTTAGATACCAAGCTAAACAGAGTTAGCTTGTTACCTAATGGTTAACAAACAAAAAGTCAAAACATGAGATGACAAAACATCCCCAAATGCCTTGATAAGACAAAAACACACAATTTATCTTGAGAAACATCTTGTATTCAAACCTTAATGAATTTCAAAATCACTTCATGGCGACTATCTCCAGCAGCATAGCATGTGTTATGGTGACATGAGGCTAATAAGCGACACATACTTGTACATGTGAAAAACAAACCACTATGCTTAAAAAGAGCTTCTCAAATGTTAAGCTGGTAAAAATGTCCACACACCATGCTTTAGATAAAGAAGCTAGCTTGTTAGCTAATAACAGCTAAGACAAAACATCCCCAAATACCTTGTTACAACAAAAAGTGAAGTCAATTTATTTTGAGAAACATCATGTATCCATGTATAGTGGATTAAAAAACAATTCATGTTAACTTTTACCAACAGTCAGAGTAACATTTGTTATGCTAACATGTGGCTAACTAGCAATACTGTTTGTACATGTGAAAACAAATGAACAAACTCAGGTAAAACACCTCACATATAGTTTTACAAACCAAACTAAAAAGAGCACTAGCTTGTTAGCTAGCAGTTAGCAAAGATGGCAAAAACATGCGATGTGACAAAACATCCTCAAACATCTAAAATGACAAAAAAAAAACATGATAGTCAATTTAGCTTGAGAAAGACATCAGTGGGTTTCAACATCACCTTGTTTTTAACCAACATCGTAGCATTTCTTATCCTAATAGGCTACTAAATGATGACTGCTAGTTAGCGACACACATATGTACCTCTGAAAAACAGACTGACAGTCTCAAATAAGCTTTCTGAATGAACAAACAAATCCATTTTTATGCCAAGCTAACATATCTAGCTAAAAATTTAGCTTGTCATCACAGCTAGCAAAGACGCATCGAAACATGGGACATAACAAATCACCTTGATACAACAAAAACACATATCCATTCAGTTTCAATCAAGAAAAGCATCATGTAAACAAGCTACATTAGATTTCAACATCATTTTACGGTGGCTTTTACCAACAGTGTAGCATGCGTTAAGCTATGTGGCTAACTAGTGATACTTGTACATGTAAAAACAGGACAAATAGAGTAAATAGAGCTGCTAAAATAAACAAACTGGTCCTTATTTTCTCACACTGTGTTTTTACCAAGCTTAAATGAGTTAGCATGTTAGCTAGGAGAAAACAACAATAAAAAAAGTTAAAATATGAGATGACAAAATGTCCTCAAATACTTCAATATGACAAAATATGACATTAAAATCTTGCATAAAAATTATGCAACCAAACTACTGTAAGAATTGAAATATTGCAAATATTCTGATATCTTTGACAATTCAAAACATGAGCTGAAAACAGAGACTGGTGACTTCACAACCCAGCAAGGGGGAATGCGGGAAAAACCAGTTCCTGCTGCATTTGCATCTGAGTATGCTGAAACTCAGCTTCATCCCCCCCAACTCACACATATGGTCATTTCAATGTTTAGATGTTCTAGAATTAACCAAACTGACTTTAACTATCATGTTTGATATCATTTGAAATGTCTCAGTGCGATTGGTACAATGGTCTCATTCTCTCAGAAATAGACATAATCAGAACAATAAATATATAACTTCAGGCATCTTTTGATCCACTGTGAAGGGTGTGACTTTTATATACACACATCCCCTTCCTTGAGGGAATTCTTGGATTATTTAAGGTAAGGTCTAAGAAAGACTCAGCGCGATTCTTCCTACCCAGATCAGCCCATAACGTGGAGCCTAGGCTCCACGTTATGTAAAATTTACACGTTATGTAAAAAGTCAGGAATGCATCTTTTAATCTTGGATTTATCTTTGATAATTTGATGTTTTGTATTGATCGTTTATGAATTGACTGATTGAATTTGGCATAATACATTTACCTGACTAATAAATTATGTTTTGTATTATTCAAACCTCGTGTTATTATCACTGATAAATGTTGTTGTCCATAGCACTACAAGCCACTGTACAGGTTAGTAATGGACTAAAACATGTTAGACGGAGCAGCGTGGCACGCTATACAATGTTGGTAGAGATCCGACTAACAAATTGGCATTTATTTATGTATACTTGGACTGTAAAAGGCCAACTATTTAGAACAACAAAATATTGTTGAAACTACTTTAAATGTGGATATTTAGGCCTTCATCTACAATAGTATAATCCTGCGCGATTATTATTAAAATACTTTGTCTTGAATTAGTAGATAACAGATCTATGGGGACCACATAAAAAATCTCCTAAATTGAGTAAGTAGTGTTCTGCCTTTCTAGGAGAGTGGTTAATCGCCTCTGTTTAATGACCAAGACTGACAAGCTTGTATTAAGAGATTGTATACCCGGCCGGTGCAAGACTCGAGATGCTATCGGAATCTGAGTAAATGAGAATAAGGTATAATAACAAATCAAAAGAATATTCTATCATAATCTAAAATAATGTGAAAGGAAACAAAATAATCTTCTCAATGTTTTATAATTGGAGTCAGATAAAGCGAGGATAAACAAATTAATATTCTAAACCATCTCATACTAAAATTGGAGTCAGATATGAGTTAAGTTTAATATAAATCAACATTGTGCACTGGAAAGACCGAACATGCAGTGAACCTTCATCCACCAGTGGATACCGTCATTGGACCAACTGGCTGGACCCTACACTACAATAGATTTCAACATCACCTCATGGTGACTTTTCCCAACAGCCTAGCAGGATATTAGCATAACAAATGCTAACAAGTGGCACGTGTTTGTACATGCGAAAAACAGGCTGACAGGGATTCTCAAATGAACAAACTCAGTTAAAATTTCCTCACTCCGTGTTTTAGATCCCAAGCTAAAAAGAGTTAGCTTGTTAGCCAGCAGTTAACAAAGAGGCGTCAAAACAAAAGATGAGGTGTTTCATTAGGGGCCTCAGAAATTAGCCAAAAAGGCTTTATTCTCTATGTTTATTCTCAGACAGCGTTTCTGGTCTTCAGGCAATCGTGACATTTATTTTATATCTTCCACTTCATCCAGCAGCATCCTCTTCATGTTATTTGTTGGTAAGATTCATTCGCACGTCTCCGATAAAAAATATCAATGTGCACACTTCAAACGTGATGGAAAAAGAAATCCATATGTGCTTTATGAGACTGTAATAAATACAATGTCTCATAAAAATCAGTCAAATGAATTGCATCTAAATGAGTTGTCTTTTTTAGTACAAGAAAACGCAGGTAAAAAGATGATGTTTTGCAGGGAATTAACCAAATCTTTAAATAAATCTTTAAATAAATATATGTGTGTGTGTGTATATGTATATGTATGTATATATATATATATATATATATATATATAAAATGTTGTGCTTATGTAAATATTCATTCATTCATTTTCTTGTCGGCTTAGTTCCTTTATTAATCCGGGGTCGTCACAGCGGAATGAACCGCCAACTTATCGAGCACATTTTTACGCAGCAAATGCCCTTCCAGCCTCAACCAATTTCAGGGAAACATCACACACACACTCATACACTACGGACAATTTGGGTTACCCAATTCACCTGTACCGCATGTCCTTGGACTGTGGGGGAAACCGGAGCACCTGGAAGAAACCCATGTGAACGCAGGGAGAACATGCAAACTCCTCACAGAAACGCCAACTGAGCTGAGGATCGAACCAGCTACCTTCTTGCTGTGAGGCGACACCACTACCTACTACGCCACTGCGTCGCCCCCTTATGTAAATAATTTGCATATATTAATGATTAATGCATGAACAGAAAATTGCAAATATCCAGAAAACTACAAATAAAGCCATTTACAAACATTCATTCATATATTAAAAAATCAATTAAATGTATAAATTAATATACGCATTGGTTTAGAATTAAATAAATATAAACAAACCTAGATCAACACAAAACTACAAACATGGAGATTAATACAATCATTAGTACAGAATTACTAGAAATAAATAAGCATTAATACCACATTAATGCAAAAATAATACAGTACAAAATAAACACAAACATACTATATGAACAAAAAACCTTCCAAAATTGTGCAATAAATAATAAATAAATAGTAAAAAATACAAATCAATCCCATTGATGATACAATAATTCCCTGTTGTTTTCCCTCGTCATGTTATTTCCAGCAGCACAATGGTTTAATAATTAATAATGGCTTTGTTTCATTCTGGCCGATCTGCTGTGGCCACATAATGACAGCAGAAGCGCTTATCAACGTCATTAGTCTGTTAATTACAGATCAGAGGTCAGCAGTGACCCATACACACCTGACATTTCATTACACTCGTTCAATACTCACAGACTTACCAATAGATATGGCGACATCACTTCCTGTCCAACACACCCATGACATCTCTATTGTTCCCACACATCTCTGAATGCAGCTTAACACAGATTTGGACATTTTGCAATTAATGCTATCACAGGAAGAAAATGATTTCTGAATCTGATTAAACACTGTTTTTAAATAAAAATGATGATCAATAAAATGTAATTAATAAATAGAAAATGCAAATTTTAATGCATAAATTAACATTTAAAAATAATTTGAAGTACAAACAAAATAAATGTTAATAAATAAGTAAATAATGTGTAGTTAAGTGCATAAGGCAAATAAAGATGCATG